ATAAATAAATAAAATCTTTAAAAAAAAATATGTAAAGCAGATATTCTTTCTTGGTATATATTTTAGCTTCTCAATTTTGTCATTGTCTCCCATCAAGAAGTTTTAAAAAACTTATTTGTAGTTAAATTTATCTTTCCTTCATTGTTTCTGATGCCTTCCGATTAATTTGTAAAATATAAATATATTTTGTAATTATATTTTAAAAGTAAATCCATTTTATTTTAAATATATAAAATTAAAAAAAATTATATTGGTTTATGTTTGTGAGTTGACTTGACCAGCAGTTTCCAAATGCCAGTGTGCAGATCAGATACATTAGAATCATTTAGGGGCTGTGTTAAAAATACAGACTTTCAGGCCCTACCTTAGACTAGCTAAGCCAAAGCCTTTGTGCCTAGAAATATGAACTTTCATCAAGCTTTTTAGGTGATTCTAACTGCATTGTAATCATAGCTCTAGTCTAGACCCAACACAGAGGAGAAAACAAGGTGGTTAAGCAACCAAGAATGCAAGCTTGCCCCCTGGTGGTTACTTAAAAAGAAATTTTAAGTACCCAATTCTTGTAATTCACAGGAACCTCAACAAACAAATGTGCACAGATATCAGATGTAATTCATAAAATCATAGTATCTAAGAATAGTAAGGGGTTATAAATGTCCTATAGTGTGTTTTCTTCTATTGTGGGATCCAGATTCCCCAACTACACCGTTACAGATCTTCAAGCAGTTCAGGCTTAGAGAATTTACATGATTGAGTAAAAAGTATACATGATTTTTAAAAATAATTTTAATTCTTCTCGTCCCAGATGATGTAAATTCATTTTTAACCAAAGTCTTATGCAAAGTTGTCTTCTTTTAATTATATGGAGTACTGGAAAAAGTAGAAACAGAAGTTATACCTGAAAAGTGGGCATTACTGAGGAAGAGAAACATAACTCTTCATTCCAGTGGCTCTTTTCCTTTATCCCAGTGACCTGAACATGCATGACAACAGTAAAATGAGGTGGTGCTGGCAACATGGGAGTGGAGGTGGTGGGGGGCTAGGGGCTTCACTGGCTCTGAGGCTTCATGAATCTGTGATCATCTCAAAAAAATGTGAACACGTTCTCCTAGATTACTATGATCTCAAATTCAATGACATAGTTGATAGGTGTTGATGAAGAAAATAGTCATGTGCACAAGTGATGAAAACAAGAGTAGACTGAGAAAATGAGTAGTGTATCTGCTGAGCATGATATAATAAAATGATATTTAAAATCTACCTGGATCTATTTTAGGAAAGCCAGCTCATAGCAAAGGCCAATATGAATATTTTTTTTAAAGATTTTATTTATTTATTTGAGAGAGAGAGGATGAGATAGAGCATGAGAGGGGGGAGGGTCAGAGGGAGAAGCAGACTCCCTGCCGAGCAGGGAGCCCGATGCGGGACTCAATCCCAGGACTCCAGGATCACGACCTGAGCCAAAGGCAGTCGCTTAACCAACTGAGCCACCCAGGTGCCCAATATGAATCATTTTAACTGTACTCATAGGATCCTAGAGTTCAGAGTTAAAGTCATTCAAATACTTAGTGTCTATAACATAACCACATGCAAGTATCTCCTAGTGTCAAAACTTCATGGAACATGGGATGCTGATTGTTTGGGTGCCTATTATGACCAGAAAGAGATCTCAGTGCACAGACACATCAAAGAACTAGACAGTACAGAAAAACCACTGATATCAAAGGTCATAGAACTATGCTTACAGGGCGCCTGGGTGGCTCAGTCTTTAAGCATCTGCCTTCGGCTCAGGTCATGATCCCAGGGTCCTGGGATCGAGCCCCACATTGGGCTCCCTGCTCAGCGGGAAGCCTGCTTCTCCCTCTCCCACTCCTCCTGCTTGTGTTCCCTCTCTCACTGTCTCTCTCTCTCTGTCAAATAAATAAATAAAATATTTAGAAAAAAAAAACTATGCTTAGAAAATGAAAAGCAGTTGAAAAATTATAATGTCCAGGAGTAAGAAATGACAGATGGAATCCTGATTATTGCTGCACAATTTTTAAAAGCTGCTTTTAAAATATGGAAACTTTTTCTTTTTTTTCTTTTTTTTCTTTTTTTTACTGATTTAGATTGAGATATACCTTTACATTATGTTTCAGGAATTAAAAAAAATTCCTTGACAAATATGAGTCAGAACAAGAACAATGGGCTTGAGCACCCAAAGAAAACATCATTCTGACAAGGATATATTTTTTAAACCTTTCTGCATATCTAGAACAGAACAATAACTCCACCATGTTATATAGAGAAGCATATTAGTTCGTAATCCAAATGTACTAGAACTCCCATGGGACTGGGTTTATTGCCTCCCACAAAACAGAGACAACATACATGAAAACCTGATATCATTAGGTTTAGTCTATGCCCTAATATCCTTATTCTGAATGACAATGATGCAATTCTTTCACCCCCCCCTTTTTTTTAGGAATTAAATACCTTTGTTCCCCCTAAGTTTTATTTTTAAGTAATCACTACATGCAATGTGGGGCTTGAACTCACAACCCTGAGATCAAGAGCCATATGCTGTACCTACTGAGCCAGCCAGGCACTCCTCTTTTACCCTTTTAGAAAGGACTGGATGGAAAAATGATCTGGACTTCCCTCTACCCAAGGTACCTTTGGAAATTGAAGCATGGATTTTAAACGCCAGTGTCTCTTCTAACTGGTTGTAGTCAGATTCCACAGAGGAAGCATGAAGTGTTTCTACCAAGAAAGGCATTCTTCCCTGGGCCTCATCATAGAAAACGGTGTGGTTCCACATGTATGGGACGCTGACGCCATCAATGGTGAACAGCCGGGTTGAGTAGGCGTACAGCTGCCCGGGACCTGTCTGAATGTAGTCCTCTGTGTAATCCTAAGGAAGACGGTATAGATTTGAGGATCAGCATGGTTCATCCTATTATTTTTTCTGAGGGTATGGTGAGATCCAGAATGAGAAAAATAAAGGCTAAGGGGCCAGACATATATACAGTTGATCCCGATCAACATGATTCGAGCTGTGTGGATCATCGTATATGACTTTTTTTTTTTTAAAGATTTTATTTATTTATTTTAGAGACAGAGCGCAAGAGGGGGGAGGGTCAGAGGGAGAAGCAGACTCCCTGCCCAGCAGGGAGCCCGACGCGGGACTTGATCCCAGGACTCCAGGACCATGACCTGAGCCGAAGGCAGTCGCCCAACCAACTGAGCCACCCAGGCGCCCGTATATGATTTTTTTTATACAGTACAGTACTGTAAGTGTATTTTCTCTTCCTTATGATTTTATTAACATTTTCTTTTCCCTAGCTTACTTTATTGTAAGAACACAGTACATAATACATATAACATATAAAATATGTGTTGACTGTTTATGTTATTGGTAAGGCTTCTAGTCAACAGTAGGCTATTAGTAGTTAAGTTTTTGGAGTCAAAAGTCATATGTAATTTTTGAATGCCCAGGGAAGTTGGCACCCCAATCCCCGTGTTGTTCAAGGGTCAACTGTAGCTCTAAATAAAAGAGTAATTGTAGGTGGCGCCTGGGTGGCTCAGTCGTTAAGCGTCTGCCTTCGGCTCAGGTCATGATCCCAGGGTCCTGGGATCGAGCCCCACATTGGGCTCCCTGCTCAGCGGGAAGCCTGCTTCTCCCTCTCCCACTGCCCCTGCTTGTGTTCCCTCTCTCTGTCAAATAAATAAATAAAATCTAAAAAAAATTAAAAAAAAAAAGAGTAATTGTAGAGTAGTGCTTAGGAAATAACTTAAAAAGTTTGAAGCTTTTAATTGTAACTACACTGATTTCATCATTTTATTGTCATAAATTATAGTTTAATCAAGGGACTCAAAGTTGTAGGTAAAGAGTAAAGAAAGGATGTGAAAGGGTGATTATCATTCTTTAGTTTCTGAATTACTTTATGGGTGATATACAAAACTTTTTATATAACAGTACTTTTCTTATCTGCAGAATATTAAACAAATGACTTAAATCTACATAGCAGTGATTTTGGTTCTGGTAAACAGGACCAGTAATAAACCAGTAAGTATTACTGGTAATAAAACCAGTAAGAGTGTGTAAAGACTTATTCCTGAAGATTTCTATACAAAGACAAGCTAGGCATTTCTAACCTTAGTGGTTTATTTATTCCCCTGAGCAAACAAGGGAAACTACAAAAGGTCTCCGTGCTCTTTCTATGAATCTTTGATTGCTACTCTTACCATTACTCCAAAAAAACAGTGAAGGCAAGTTATCCTGACATTTTACCTTTACAGTGACTTCAGCAGGTGACTGAAGCTGCAGGACATAGCCACTCACAACGATATCTAGGAGCAAAGCACCATCAGAATCCAAGCCCCGGGCAGTATGAGTCATCCGCAAGATTTCTCCTGGGAATTGCAATTCATTTGTTTTAACAGCGAAAAAAAAATATATGGTTTGTATAAGCATGGAGCAGATTTACCTTACATATCATATCAAATACATATATTATTTTCCTTCAAACTTGAATAAGCATAGACCATAAATTATTAAATTCACACTTAGTCCCTGAATGAATGAGGTAGGCTTATTGAGTGGTAGGTTCTAAAACTTCTTTTTCTGTGGCAAAAACATGGCATATAGTTATGTGAAGGCTCTATACTTTATTTATTTTATTATTATTTTATTTGTTAAGTGGGCTCCATGTTCAATATGGGGCTTAAACTCATGACTCTGAGATCAAGAGTCACATGCTCTACTGATTGAGCCAGCCAGGTGACCCAGAGTCCACACTTTAAATTCACAAGCAATAGCAAGACAGTTCTGCAAAAACAGGGTATGAGAAGAGACAGACAGCTTCACCAGGTGGACTGGCAATAACCACAAGTCTGGCTATAGGGCTTTGTTCTTTCCGATGCTTCAAGAAGCAGCAAAGGGGCATCTTAGTAAGCGGATGACTTGTCTTCTGGGCTGATTAAAGCCCCTTCCTCAGCCCTTCTTCCTTACAGAGCACTACCATAGAGGCTGTTCACCTTTGAAGAGGCTTGTAATGGAGGTCAATAAAAATATGTATGCACTTGGAAAGTGCCATGAATAGCTAATCCATATTCATTAAGACTAAGAGTAAAGTGAAAAGCCCATAGATTTGCTTATTTTTACTTCCACCTTTTTGATAAAAAATCCCTATAGAGTATCCTAATTGAACCTCAGGTTCATAGACAAAAGTCTTTACTTAATAGCAATGACTCATTTTCCTGCTCTGTTTTGGCCTTTAAAACCCTCTCTGAGGATTTAAAGAGAAAAGATACAGAAAAGTTGAGAAAAAACTTTTGGGGTATAAAAAAATCACTATACTGTTTGAAAACACATGGCCTCTTACAGATCCATGTCAGTAAAAGTTTACAGGGAAATATGAAATTGCTTTTGTATCATTTGTGATAAGACTACATCAAAAACTTTAAAATTATTCTCTGGGGGAATATATATAAACGTATTTTTCTTAAGCAGCAACTTTTAAGGCAATCGTATTTTTTATAGTAATAAAATATTTAGTTCAGCTGACACTAACCAGTTGCAAATTCCACCTGGGTTTCTCTCTTGAAGACTGCATTGGTGAGGGTAAAGCCATTGACTGCTTCTCCTATTTCCTTTGCTGTTGTCCAATAAATGGGATTTAGAATAGAAACTATTTTTCTCATTGCTGGACCTAAAGAAGAAAGGATAAATAAGGTGACAAAGAAAGATATACAATCCATTGTTATTATTATCTTCAGGGCCTGTTACTTACAAGGATGAATCCTAAATAATGAATAATAGCAAAATAAGTATCAGAATCTCATCTGTCTTTAAGAATTTACCATTGGGATAGAACTAAGGACTATCATACAGATCATTTAGTAGTAGCATCATCTAGAAGTTTTAAGCAGAAATAAGTGAAGAATAACATATAAATTAAAAAAAAAGAGGCTATTAACAACTTTTATAAGCAAAGAGACTTACCAAGGCTGCGAGGTATGTTGGTAATTTTGGCGTGTATTATTCTAGTATCAAAGGTAGGACTATCTGTTACTGTGGCATTAAGGAAAGCAATTCCAAATTCAACATCATTAATATTTCCAATAACACTTCCTCTGGCTCGCTGGGGCCCACCTATTGGGGGAAGAAAAAACATTCTTGGATAAGGAAACAATTTCATCAATGTTACAGGGGAGAAAAGAAGGCCAGTGTTCAAAGATGCTACAAATCTTCCTTCAAACATTTAAAATATCATATGACATCTGAATTTAGGAGTGAAATAAATAAGCTTTCAAAACATTCTACTTTCACGTAACACTCATCCTCCCACATAAATCTAGGGTCCTTCCAATCTATGTATATCATGGCATTATTTCACAATCCAAAGAATACAATCAGTACCCAGTCCCAAAGCCAAAATAAAGGTGTTTGTTGATGGTGATGAAATGATGATAATAATGAGAGTTTATTGAGCATGTCATGCACCATACTAAGCACTTAATATGAGGTAACTCTTTTAATCCAGTCAAAAGTCCTATAAAGTCATTTTAAATGGCCACAGTTTACAGACTAGGAAAATAAAGTTCAGAGACATAAGTAGTGGAATGAAGATCTGAACACAGATGTGCTTGGCATCAAAACCCATGTTCCTTTATCTACTGTCTCCTTTGTGAGGAGGGTCACCTCAAAACAGTTCCTGAGCCTTGTTACAGGTCACTGTCAACATAGGTGTGGAGTATTTAATACGTATTATTCAGTCTTGTGTTTCCATTGGAAACGTGGAAGGCTTACCAAGTTTTCTTTAATACCTATATATACTGGAAAATAGTTAACTTGAGAAAAAATTGAGAATGGTGTTTTAACAGTGCTGCAAAATTCATACAATTAGGTTGAAAACAACTACACATTTTTAAAAAAAGCATCTCTACAGTAATTTTATGCCTTCTTTCCATTGTTCAACAAAATTATTAGCTACTGACACAGAATAGGTGGTTAATGAATGTTTTTAAAAATTTTTTATTGTTATGTTAATCACCATACTTTACATCATTAGTTTTTGATGTAGTGCTCCATGATTCATTGTTTGTGCATAACACCCAGTGCTCCATGCAGAACGTGCCCTCTTTAATACCCATCACCACGCTAACCCATCCTCCCACCCTCCTCTCCTCTAGAACCCTCAATTTGTTTCTCAGAGTCCATAGTCTCTCATGGTTCGTCTCCCCCTCTGATTTTCCCCCCTTCATTCTTCCCCTCCTGCTATCTTCTTTTTTTTTTTTTTTCTTAACATATATTGCATTATTTGTTTCAGAGGTACAGATACAGATCTGAATGCTTTTTAAGTGAACTGCATGCTTTAGCAAGAGAAGGAAACATACTGGGAAGAAGCTGATAGAGAAGTTCATAAATATTCATTACTTGATGACTTTTAACTGAATATATTTTTAAAAAGTCACTAGGTGTTTCAGATATTGTTATATATTATATACCAGGGAGAAATACAATTGTATTTAATTTCAGAAAAATCAGTAAGTATAGTATTTTACCATTTTAATTTGCATTACTTTGATTATTTGTGACAGAATACATTTTTTTTCACATTGGTTCAGCCTTCATGTTCTGGATTACATTCATTTGTTCATTTATACATAGGTTACAATATACAAGGATATAATAATAAGAAAGAAAAAGGCATGAGGCCTGCCTTCATAGAACTTATATCTGAAAGAGGGAGACAGACATTCATTAGAATTCCACAAACAAATGTAAAATTGAAATGTACTAATGTATGAGATATATACTACCTAGGGAAGTCTGAGAAGAAAGTAAAAATAGAGTGGAGATCTGAAGAAAGTTAGGTGTTAACTAGGCCAGAGAAGGCGGGACAAGGGCTTTCTGGGTAGAGCAAATAGCATGTGTCACCCTTTTGAGAGGTGGTGGCTTGCCATATTTGAGAAACCAAAAGGAGCAAAGGGTGGAGAGTGGTGGGAACCATACTGCAAGATGATACAGGAAAGTAGACAGCAGGGCCAGTCAGGACCTTGGAGGCTATTTTGGTTCTTATCTTTAGCCTTAAGCAGGAGAGAGGGATAGAAGGATCACTAATTCATTTAGTTCTCTGGGTCATTTGATTTGGGTCATTTGACCATTTTGACCTTGACCTTAGTCTCCAGAGGATCTTGTGTCCCAGCACTCAACAGATATCTCCTACTTCTCGGTAGCTAATTGGAATCCTTGAAACTCTCTGCCAGACTCTGTAATCCAAATTGTTCACCTGTTTGGACTTCCTTCTGCTCCTGGGGTCCTTTTATCCATGACAGAGTAATACCCCTTAGATGAACAATACCCCTTGACAGTGACCTGTAACAAGGCCCAGGAGCTACAAAATGCCTCAATTAAAACTAGAACTGTCACCATGCCTACATGTTAGAACCTCAAAATCCTTGGTAATCAGTTGATATGTTGACAAGATATATTGAACAGTTGACTGATAAGACACTCTTCCTTTTAGCTTATCTAGTTCCTATAAATCTCTTCATGTAACTCCTCTCACTGCCAAATGAGCCTTTCTGATTTTCAGGGACATTTTATTTCTAAAGCACCCTTAAGGCTTTGGAAAGTTCAGTGGTATCTTAGTACTTTAACAATGTGAAACTGTTCTTTTTAATTTTCTTATAGTCCTTAGAAAGTCCTCTGAGACAAGCAACCTTAATATCATCCACCATTTCTTGGGATTCCAAAAAACTTTCTAAGGTCCATAGGTTTAGAATTCTGGTTTCATTCTTTCTGAATTTTTTTAAAGATTATTTATTTATTTAAGAGACAAAGTGTATACCAGCAGGGATAGGGATAGATGGAAAGGGAGAAAGAATCTCAAGCAGACCCCATACTGAGCGCAGAGCCCAATGGGGGCTCCATCTCACAACCCTGAGATCATGACAAAATCAAGAGTTGGACGCTTAACCAACTGAGCCACCCAGGTGTCCCACCTTCTGAAATTTTACATCATTTACAATATCCAGCCACGTTGTATGACTTGGGTTATCATACCTGAACTCCCCCTACTCTTTTTCCTAGAACTGAACTGGCCCCTATTTTACTTTCCACATTCATGTTCTCCATATTTCCATCCATGAAAAAATAGCCCCCAACTGTGTATTTCTGTTAAGTATTCAGTTTCTGTCTCACTCTCATTTTCAGCCTGGAATCTCAGCCTGGCTTTCTCCAGTCTTCCAAACCTTTGTATTCCTCAAGCCTAGGACTACTATTTATAGCTGTGCAGACCATATCTTTTTACAAGGGGGCCTGGATGGGGATGAACAGCAGCTAAAATCCAGCCATAAGATTTGGTGTAGACCAACTTGAAGGGGAAAAAAATACATTTTTCCTAATTCTTCCTTCTGGAGTTGGCACCATTTTGCAATTTGTGGGCTCAGAGGGATATCCTTTTCTAATCTGCAGGAAGGCTGTAGATAAATTAGCAATGGTTCCGCCAAAGTCTAACTTAGTTGCTTACCTGGACATGCTTGCATATTGCATCTGGACACCTGAGTAGCATCTCCTGGACAGGGGCGCCCGCTTTTAGATGGCACTGGATTGTTGCACAGCCGTTTTCGAGTCTTTTCACCTCCTCCGCAAGAGGCAGAGCACTGGCCCCAATTATGCCAGTTTCCCCAACTTCCATCCACTGTGAACAAGAATGGAATGGCCAATATTAACCCATGGGTTTTAAAATCTACAGTTCAGATGACCCTACCTATACAACTCTCATTTTAAGATCTGAAATGATGTGGCTAGCTACAATGAGCACTAAGTGAAATGCTCTCCTTATTTTACTGCCAGGAGTCGGGGGGCTCACCAGGACACATGTCAGTGTTGCACCTCTGGATCTGGGAGTCTGGCCCCCCACAAGCTCTTCCACCGTTGGAGGGATGAGGGTTATCACATGTGCGGAACCGCCGCATCTGCCCCCCGTTGCATGTCCGGCTGCACATTCCCCAGCCACTCCAAGGACTCCAGTTACCATGAACTACAACAGAGAACCATTGGAACAGGTGCTAAACAATGACATTCATCCAAAGAGTATGGTAAGACTCTCTCCAGGAACTGAAAAGAAATATACGAATCGGTGAATAGGCAACTTCCAAAGGCAGATGGTTTAGCTGTTATTCTGACTAGAAACGGGGTATACATTCCCGTCATTGAGAAATTCCATTTAATATACACCTATTGAGTCTTACAGTATTCCAGGAGCTGAAGGATATGAATGAGACAAGATCTCTGCTCTTGATGAGTCAAGACTATAAAATCCAGATACAGTGGATTCAGATGCTGTTAGGGTCTTAAAATCTAGGTTGGTGACTGATTTAAGGAAAAGAGCCACCCACTTGCCTCTGTAAAGATATCATCAACACCGTAAGAGTGCCCTTGTCCTTGCATTCTGCAGCCTGTCCTAGAGAGGAAATGAAATAGGACACAGCCCTTGCCTATATAAATCAGTTACATCTATGGTATTATACAGGCACAGCAGCAACTGTACAACACTTGGATATTCTAAACCAAAGGTAGATGAATCCAGTAACAGTATATTATGACTTTTTAAAAATTCTTATTTTTTTTTTATTTTTAAAGATTTTATTTGAGAGAAAAAGCACATGAGCAGAGGGGAGGGGCAGAGGGAGAGGAAGAAGCAGATTCCCCACTGAGCAGCGAGCCCCATTGGGACTTGATCCCAGGACCTTGGGATCATGACCTGAGCTGAAGGCAGACACTTAACCAACTGAGCCACCCAGGTGTGCCAGTATATTATAACTTTAAGGACTTAAGGCCTAACAAAACTTTAAGAAAGTATAATGTTGACTCACTATTTCCAACACTCACTTGGACAAGGGTCATTATTGCAAAAATCGCTCTGGACATCACTCCCTTCACATCTGCTTCCTCCATACAGGGGGACAGGATCAGAGCACTCCCTTGTTCTCTGTCTGGCACCTCCTCCACAGGACACAGTACAGGTACTCCAACTGGTCCAAGCTGCCCACTTGCCATCAACTGGATTAAGGAAAAACATATGTGCTCTGTTACTACAATACCCTGAGCATTGTTAGGTTGGGTGATGTTCTTATTGACATTGATTCTTACTGACATGCTACTCAGATAAGAGGTAGATGTCAATTTATTACAGGTAAAAACACTGTATTTCTCTTACCTGGACAGTGTCTTTCATTACAAACTTGCATCTGTGTTTCTGCCCCATCACAATAGGATCCATCAAATGATGGTGGTGGATTATTGCACAGTCTGGTCCTTATCTGGGCACCTTTACCACAACTTTCGCTGCATGCACTCCAAGGCTGCCAAGTGCCCCATGCTCCATGAACTACAAATATGCCATGAGACAAGTTGCAAGTTGCAAGGCACAGAACCACATTTGTTAAATAAACAAAATTATATAAGTAAATTAACTCAGTAATGATTTAAATTAGCCTGGAATCAAAAATAACTGAAATTGAACCAAAGGAAACATAAATAATGTTCTTCCTTTCTCCTTCTGGTTAGATTTTCATGGGAATTAGTGTTTATAGGAAAATTCAGAAGGCTACCTAATGCCAAAATGAATGCTTACAATTATCCAAAGGGACTATTTTATTAAAATAGAATGTAATCAAACTACCATATGTAAATACAATCTAAGTTTAAAAAATCCTAGATAAGCATTTGTTTGTGCTTTATGCTCTGGAAAAAGTGGAAGGAACCAGAAGCTTAGGAGCAAGGCTGTATAACAGATCTAGATGCAATTATAACGAATATAATCATTTTCATAATGATAACTTGGACTCTAGACTCAAGACCACATCTTTAAGCCTGATTCAGCTTCATGTTTAAAAATACACTTAGATCCTTCAACAACATGATGATTTGCACAGTTGTAACTCCTTAAAAAATTGTCTCCATTACATAATGTTCATGAATTAAAAATTCTGAATAACGTACTCACCTGCTTCCTAAACACCAAAAATTTGACCAGTAGTTTCCACGGAGTGATATTAAGCCCTTCCTTTTGGTAACTAACATATTATACCATCTAACCGCAAGACTGAAACAACCTTGTGTTTCCTACCAGGTGCATGGGCTAAGAATCAACATTATGGTTTCTCTCATGTATAAGTCAGTATCAAGTGATATTTTTGTTTTAAGGGTAATTTTCTAGAAATAGGGCTCATAAAATATGTTTTTGTGGTCACCCAGTTGAACCAAGATATGAACCAAAATAGGGCCTTAAGGTCAGTGTCTAAATATTCTCTTAACACAACCTATCAGACACCAAAAGAATTAGTTGAAAACCAAGTAATGACATTAAATTATCATTTGCCTGCTTTGTTTAGAATATAGTTTAAAACACACCTTAGATTTTCTTTCAATTAACTATTTTCTAGTTGAGTTTATTACATATCCGTGTACTTAGTAGACACAGACAAGCATAATCACACACATGTATTTTAGCTGTTAAGAATTTGGACTAAAAAGTATTTGACTAACCCTAAAAAAAAAGAAAAGAAAAAAAGAAACAACAAAGCCTTTAAATATAAGGCAGATATTACTCAAAACTACTTCTTTATTAACTTGGATTACTGATGTATGGACTGTGTGATTGAAAAAATTTAGCTATTCCAATTATTTTAATATGCCCAATTTTCAAGGCTGTTGGTTAACAAAAAGCCACTGATGCATTTTTTTTATTGGAGGATTACAAATGGGTGATGCTTATTCATTTATTATCTGTGAAGTTTCTATTACATATAAGTAGAGGTGTTTGTCTGAAGACCTTTTATTTTTTTTAAATCAGTACAGAACACCCCAACCAGAATTTAATTTAATGACATAATATGTGGCAGAGTTAAAATGTTTCTTTTATATGAATGAAATGAAAAGAAAAAATTTAGAATGATAATATAAACCAGATAAAGTATAAAACATTGTGGTATATAAATAATACAAAAGAAAACAGCTATGGAGGAATTAGTATGTAAGAAAAATCCAAATTATAATAGATGAATTTGTGCTACACTAAGTTGCAGTTCTGATTCTGGAAAAGCAATAGAGCATGGTGCTTAGGTACAGGGACTCTGGACCTAAGCAAGAATCTTACTATTGTACTATACTATTCTTGCAAGTTTTCTGTAATTTTGACAGTATTAAGAATAAATTTTTACTAAAAAGAGTCAAACTCTGTGAAGCAAAAATTAACAGAATTACCAAAAACAAAAACAAAAACAGAAAAAACCAGATGAATCCACTATCATAGTTGGAGACTCTGACACCTCTCTATCACAAATGCACAGATGTAGCAGGCAGAAAACCAGTAAGGAAATAGTTGAATTCAACATTACCATTGATCAAATGGATATAATTAAACATTTACAGGCTATACCATCCAACAACAGCAGAATACACATTCTTCTCAAGCTCACCAGCAACATTTACCCAGACAAGACATATTCTGGGTATAAAATACATCTTTAACAAATTTAAAAGAATAGAAATCATATAATATCTGCTGTCAGACCACAGTAGAATTAAGAGAATCAATAACAGAAAGATAACTGGAAAACCCTCATATATGTGGAGATTAAACAACACATTTCAAAATGATACATAGGTCAAAGAAGAAATCTCAAGAGAAATTAAAAATATTTTGAACTAAATGGTGATGAAAGCACAACTTATCAAAATTTGTGGGATGCAGCAAAAGCAGTGCTAGGAGGGAAATTTATAGCATTGAATGCATATATTAGGAAAGAAAGGTATAAATCAATCATCTAAGTTTCCACCTCAGGAAACTAGAAGAAGAGAAAGTTAATTCCAAAGAAGGCAGAAGAAAAAAAAAATTAGAGCAGAAATCAGTGAAATTGACAAAAGGAAATCTAGATAAAATCAATGAAACCAAACGGTGGCTCTTTGAAATTATCAATAAAGTCAATAAGCATCTAGCCAGAGGAAGAAAAAGAGAGACTGAAAACACAAATTACTAGTATCAGAAATGAAAGAGGGGCATTACTATGGATCCTATGAACATTAAAAGGTTAATGAAGTGATACTATGACTACTCTACACTTAAATTTGATAACCTAGATGAAATGGACCAATTTCTTGAAAGACACAATTTGCCAAAACTTGCACAAGAAGAAATAGACATCTGAATAGGCCTGTATCTATTAAAGAAACTGAATCAAAATTAATAACTTTCCAAAACAGAAAGCACTGTTCTAATGGGTTCACCGCTGAATTTTCCCAAACATTTAAGGAAGAAATTATACCAATTCTTTACTACCTCTTTCAGAGGACAGAAGCAGAAGGATTATATTCTAACTTATTCTATGAGGTCAGCATTTCCCTAATACCAAAACCAGACAAAGACATTACAAGAAAAGAAAACTATGGGTCAATTTCTCTCATGAACATAGATGAAAAAATCCTCAATGAAATATTAGCAAGTTGATTACAACAATGTATAAAAAGAAAATCCCTTCTATCCCTAAGAATCTGACAGACCCCCAGATTAGAAAGTCTTTCTTAGGCCACCTGCTCAGTTTGCAATGGTATAATGATAAATTTAACAACCACCTCTCAGGAAATAGAGAGAGAAACTGATTTGTAGCATCATGGTGTAAATGCTTCCAAAGGTGTAAATGCTCCCACTATGGTCTGTGCCCAGCTAGTAATATGATGTCACTAAACTTTCAACTGGAAAGAGATACATGTTTTCATTTGCTTGTCTCAGGGTACCACTGACATTATGCCAAAACAATAGTTAAATTCAATTAATTTAAGGACTGGGAAATAACCAGAGAAATTCTCAAAATTAGTAAGCCAGTAGAACAGTGAGCAAACATCAGTAAACCAATAGTTACTCAACATGAAGAGAAAAAAACCTGACTTTTATTTTAGGACAGCTACAAATATCATTTTGCTTTTCATTATATCAGTATCATAACTGACAATCTGTACAAAGACTGCTATAATCAGGTGTTCTGGCTCTTTTGACTTTGATATATTATGCTATTATAATCAGCTTTCTAATTCTTTAAGATTAAAACAGTTTTGGCTTTGGCTTATTTTTTTAAGATTTCATGACAGTATTTTACTTATATTTACTAATGCAATGTAAGTTCTGAACTGCAAATCAAGATACCCAGGATCTAAGCAAATAGGCTTAGGAATCGGACAGACCTGGATTCAAATCCTTGATTCACTTTTTACTAGCTATGTAACGTTAGTGAATTATCATCTATTTTCTGAATCTTGGTTTCCTCATTTATACAATAGGATGCAATACCCAGTGTAGTGAACATCTACTATATTTTGGTTTGTCTGCATCCCCCCACTCCCTTCATTTAAACCATCTCAGCTAAGGTGTCTCTCCAGGTATGCTCTATCACTGCAACTCTTGGTATTTGTTCAGTAGGCTTATAAATATCTGAATGATATTATCTATTTACCATTCTAACTGGAGCAGTTAAAACAATGACTTGAGCACAGAGTGGGTGCTCAATAAATATTTGTTGGATAAATGAATGAATAAATGAATGAATTAATGAATGACCAGACACTTCTATCCCAAATGGTTTCTTTCTGGCTGTCAAACAAGGAGCCTGACCCTCTTGACACATGCTAGGTAGATAGCTCAAGCCAGTTATCCAAGTATCTGGACTTAGCTGAGTTCAGAGGTGAGCATGAGACCCAAACAAAATCAAACAGGGCTCCTTTTCAGAGGTTGATAGGAATTCTGAGAGAGAGAGCAAGACTCTTTTTTTTCTGAGGCCTTAGATTATAAGGCCCCTGTGAGCCAGTAGCTGCCAGCAGTCATTTTTTTCCACTGCTTGGAAAGAGTTTAATGGACAGTAAAGCCAGAGAAGAAAGCAGAGACGAGAGATGGAAAACATGCTAGTAAAAACACTGGCCAAATCCTTGAATTCAATCATACCTGAAAGTAGAATCTTCTACTTAAGCTTATTTAGGTTTGGTTTCTGTCACTTTAATCTGAAAGAGCCCTAAAATACTAGGGTTGTTTTATAAAGTAAAAAACAACATGTACATAAAGCTCCTAGCATGGTTCCTACAACATGACAGGTGTTTAGTGAATGGTTGCTATTATTATCTCAGCCCTCTCTAATTGTGTGTTTCTGGGAAAGTCTTTAAATACCCTAGACTTCATTTTTCTTATCTGAAAATGAATGGCTGTATTAGATGTTAAGGTCCTCATTACTTTTAAATTCTATGATTTTGTAAATACTATGTTTTCTCTACATGATTAAAAATACACCACAGTTGGTATAACATAAAGGTATTCAATTAAATCAGGGATTTTACTTAACATTGATTAATGTCATACCTTTCATAACTTTATTAATGAGACAGAATTAATAACACATAAATATATTCCAGGGTAGAGGCTACAATACCTTTTTACAACAGGAAGAAAAGGTAATTATAACCTCTTTACTGGAGTTAAAAATAGCCAAGTTTTGCTCATCAGTGGATTCTCACCTGGGCAGGGCCTAATGTTGCACATGATTATTTCTATTGCATTTCCTTCACATGGCCGCCCACCATATTGAGCTGACGGATTATTGCAAGTTCTGGTCCTTGTTCGGTTGCCACGTCCACAACTCCTTGTGCATTCTTCCCAAGGGCTCCATTCTGACCAGCTACCATCCACTGTACAAAGGTGAAACATTACACTGTCAGATACTTTGCAATTTAAAGCATTAACACTGAGACAATCCATAGTTAGGGAACAGAGATGAGTATCTATTGAACATGTGCCTGTCCGTTGAATAAAGAGATGTACCTGGACACAGCTTACGCTGACAGTTTCGCATTTCTGAATCTGACCCTTGGCAAGGCTTCCCACCATTGGCTGGAGAGGGGTTGTTGCAAAGACGACTTCTCTTTTGGATGCCTTTTCCACAGGTGACACTGCAGGCTCTCCATGTAGACCACTGGGAATATCCACCATGAACTGCAAATAAAACATTGTACTTTTGTCTCTCTGTTTGTAAACAACAAAACATAAATTGAATTTCATTTATGCACTGGGTCTAGAGCTGAATCTATAATTGCTGAGCAACGGCTTATGGGTGCTGTCTTTGATGGTAAAATTAAAATCCATATGGGAAAGAAGAATTTCAAATAGTTAACTAGAGTGTGTTCTCAGCTCCAATCCTGACTCATGTGGACATGGCTGCCAGAAGAGTGAGAGACCAAAAAGTTCAAATACTGTTTACCTTTTGGATATGTCATTCTTTAAAGAAAAATAAATGCATGGATTTCTGAGAATAAATTTGACTTAGTTTTGAGTCAAAACTTCAGTGTGGGATTTTGAATTATTAGAGCTTGGTATTTTACTGCTCTAATCTGTATTGTTTTATTCCCTCCAGTCTACAAATTATGTGATTTTTGTTCTAGCTCCACAATCTAGAAGTATCTTAAGGGTAAAAGGAGACTTAGACTAAGATGCTTAATAATTTTTATGATTTGGATTGCCCCAGGTGCTATATATTTATTTTTAAAGTTTATTTTTTTAAATAATCTCTACACCCAACATGGGGCTCAAACTCACAGCCTTGAAATCAAGAGTCACATGCTCTTCCAACTGAGCCAGCCAGGGTAATAGTACCTCCTGGTGCTATTTAATGTAAGTATCCCTCTGATCACACTCACCCTGGACTATGACCGGCACTCTGACAAGGACAGAACCCATCAAGTTTCGAGCAACACATTCATATTCAGACGTATCTTCTTTCTGAGCAGCAGCAATATGTAATGAGTTGTTGGACAACACATTAACTCGGTCATCCCAGGGGACAGAGTGCCCTTGACGGGACCATGTAATGGTCGGATGAGGTTCTCCAGTTGCCTGACAATTCAATATGACTTTGTCACCTGCATTAATAACAGTTTCTACTGGCTCAAGAGTGATAATAGGAGGACCTACAGAAAAAAGAACATGGCACTTCTTAGTTTTTGTAGTTATATTAACATTTTTATTAATATTATAGAGTAACATTATTTTGAAAAAAAAATAGGTTGATTTGTTTATAAAACACTGTAGTTTCTCAACTACTAAGGTTGCAATGGCCATTGATAGACTTTTCATAGCTCTGTTTTACTAAATGTCCAAAATTTTAAACTCCTAAGCATATTAGCCTATAGCATGGACTCTACAGTCATACTTTCTGGGTTCCAACTCTGCTTCTGTTCCTTAGGACCTCTCTGAGCCTTTGTATCCTTCAGAGAATTCTTGTTAAGACTCCATTAAGATGATGTAAGCCTAGCTCTTTGACAGGGGAAGCACATAATATTATTAGTACTATTGTTGTTATCATTGTTTTTGTCTGTTTTACATAGTGAACATTCACTTCTTTCCCTTACATCACTTTTTGAGGTAGAGTCATTATTAACTTTTTCTTTCATAACTGGTCACCATTCATGTATTCAATAAACATGTATCGAGAGCCTACTATTTGCCAGGCATTGTGTTAGATGCTCAGAAATAACAGATATAACTTCTAGTCTCAAGGAGTTCACAGTCCACTGATAAGACAGGTGAGTGACTATAACTATTTAGTTGTTCTATAATATAGCTACAGAATTTAGTAATGGAATAGGTAGAATAATATTTAGTACAGAATAGGTAAATATGTGGTAATACAGAAGCATAACAATAGTGACTTAAGAGATCAGAGGCATTCACTGAAAATGGAGAGGAAAAGGAAGATATTCAAGAACCATTAAGAAAGAAAGAACAGAATTTTGTCATTGAATTGAGAGGAACTGACAACTACAGGATTTGGCTTGGACAATATACTGTGGTTTGGGCAGTTCAGTAGAACATAGGAGGAAGAACATATTTGTTTGGAGGTTGTAAGGAATGATGATTTGTATCCATTTGGAACTACTGAGCTTGAGGTATCTGTGGGGACATTCATGTAGAGATGTCTAGATGATGAGAGAATATTCCTATCTGCAGCTCAGAAGAGATATGGGCTAGAAATATAGATCTGTGAGTCATTCATGAGTGGATAAGATTGCTTTGGAAGTGATTCTAAAATGTGAGGGAGAGGGCCAAAGACAGAAACTATTACAACATTGTTATTTAAGAGATGAACAGAAGACAAGCCCATACAATGATCCTAAGAACTGATCAGTGAGGTAGGAAGAAAATCAAGAGAGAATGGTATCCTGGCAATCAAAGGAAGGAGCTTCAAGAAGTGGGGAGAGGTTGACAGTATCTATAGTAGATCATAGCTGCTCAAGTGAAGTTGGAGAAAAATGTCAAGGTAGCTGTATATAGCTACTGGCAGAATGTTTATACTGGTCTACAGTGTCAAGAAAGAATACGAGATTTCATGGAAAAGAAGAAGCTTGAACTGGATTTTCAAAAATGGGTAAGATTATACATAGAAGAGGGGAGTCTACTTGGAGAGAAGGAAATAGCATGGAGATGGATTTAGCTTTGAAAGGATGATTCACTTAGGACAGCAGCAGAATATAAGGTTTTAAACATTTATTTAATCAGAGGAGTTCACATTTAAATAGGTAAGCAAAGAGGAGCCTGTATATTCTTGAAAGGTGAAAGCTGTGATGTAGTAGGCTTGAACTGAATGGTGGAATGATTTGCTCAATGAGAAGTAATGAATATCAGATAATTCAGGGTCATGGCTCTATTTTAGATGGAGAAGTATATCTGGAATAATAGAACATAAAACAAAATACGCCAGGATTTTATGTAAAGGTTTTACTGACATGTTGTCTTTTACAGAAGTAATTATTTTCCATGAGGTTTGAACCTCCCAGTATCATTAATGCATTATTCATGTATATGTCCACATCATCTTACACAATACCTTCTTACTTGATGTTTATATTAACTTTACTCAAGGAGCTTTCAGGGCTGGGGCTTTTATTTCTCTCCCAGTGTTCAGATTACATTATGTGTTCAATAAACTGCTGCTGAATAAATTAAATGCCTCAGATTAATTATTCAACACTAAATGATAACATAATGACTAAATGAGCTCATGTGCTCCTTCTACTATGGTCAAAGAAAGTGTCAAATAAAACTCAGAGTCTTAATTTCAATACCATATTTGAACATTTCCTATAAGCCTATAAATTAATTCAACAATAAAATTCCATATGTACATCTTTCATGGTTGAATTAATTCTACCAATCACATAATGATCAGTTAAATATGAATGCTTCATCTAAATGAAAACATTCCTTCTGGTACTTTAATTTTAAACAAATATTTTGGTTTTTATATGCCTCATTTACTTAAATCAACTTATTGTCAGTACACATAAATAAGCTAATCTAATGCTGCCTTTCATAAACCAGATCAGTGGAACACTCTTCCAGGAGAGATTAATCATTGTGACACCCTACCCACATTAACCCAACAAAGAGGGGAGGAAGGTTTCGTGGAAATAACATTTATTTGGGAAACATGGCATATTATACCTTTCTCTTGCTGAGTTATAACACATCAACATATTAACATTTCAGGAAAGACCTGCAGTAAAGAAACCTGGCAACAAAGCAGGGCTTGGCATATAGTAGGGGCTCTTTATATATTTGATAAATGAATGAACTTTGTTTAATCAATTTTCTCTCAGACTTGTTTGACCATGGAACTCTAGTTTTTTCCTAATAACATCCCACAAGGCTATTGTTTGATAAATATGTACTTTAATAAAACACTGTCATAGCAAGATATGAAAACAACCGAAGTGTCTGGTGATGGATGAATGGATAAATAAAATGAGTATACATATGTATAATGGAATGTTATCTAGCAATAAAAAGAAGGAAATCCTGCCATGTGCAACTACATGGATGGACCTGGAGGGCATTATGGTAAACTAATTAAGTTAGACAGAGATAAACAGTGTATGGTATATCACTTGTATGTGGAATCTAAAAAAGAAAAAAAAGCTGAATTCATAGAAACAGAGTAGATTGGGGTAAATGGGTGATGTTGGTCAAAGGATACAAACTTTCACTTATAAGATGAATAAGTTCTAAGGATCTAAGGTATAGCATGGTGACTGTAAATAATACTGCACTGTATCCTTGAAATTTGTAAAGTGAGTAGACCTTTAAGTGTTCTCACCAAAACAATCAAAACCAAAAAATGGTAACTGTGAAGTGATGGATGTGTTAATAAACTTGATTGGTGCAATCATTTCACAGTGTGTGTGTATATATATATATATAAAATTTTCACTTTGTACAGTTTAAATATATACAGTTTTATTTATTAAAAGTTAAAGTCTTAGATAATAGTAGTTTAGCAAATAACTGTTAGTAAATGCTAGCCTAGAGCATCTCTCAAAAGTGAATGAAGAAAACATAAATTTATCCCATTAAATACTGAGCCTAGTCACAAAATAAGTTTTTCACTTAAATTCTCAACCCAATGATGCTATCCTCAGGTCAATCCTGAAGTGGTTCTGGAGACTGTCCTTCTGATGGCTGATACTGAAGGGCTTCATGATGAGCACGATAGTCCTGCCCAGAATATATAATTATTTCATGGAAGATTGATAGCAATCAACCTAGAGCACTTTTGAATTCATTTATATTAGTCTTTACTTCTTTTCTTCAATTTTTTTTTATTATTATGTTATGTTAACCACCATACTTTTAATATACATTTTAAAGTGCCACAAAATGACATTTTTCTAAGCACATTACCAGAACCATGGTAAACTATGTGAAGGGTACTTGGCTGAATATATTGCAAACCAAAAGAAAGCTCTGCTGCCAAGCAACCGTAATCTTGAACTGCATGTGTTAGATAAAATAGAAAAAATATATATTCAAAACTGTATCAATCTTATGCTTGATAACAAATTGCTCTATCAGCAGCAGAAAACTAAATTACACACACTCTGAAGGCTACTGATAATATACTTGCTATGAAGTTAAAAAAACAGGAACATTCTTTATTAGGCAACATTCCTCTAATCAGGTGTTCACGTAGAGTTGAATAAAGCAGCTTACTCTGCAGAGTCAGACTCATGCTGCGCTCCACCACCCCAGCATCATTGGTCGCTACGCATGTATAATCACCAGCATCTTCATTCTACGGAAATAAGCAGTGCTTTATAAAAATGTGAGCCTACAGAGCAGGGCAAATAACTTTTTTCACCATGAGGCTACTATAAAGTTTCATTTTTGAGAAGGGATTTTTCATGGAAGTAGACAAAACTACATATATTTACCTTCATAAATAGGTTTTAAAATGAGAAAAAGAAGGAGAAAAAAATTCCCAGCCTAAATGTTTTCAAAACAGCCGATTATTGCTCTCTGGGAATAATAATTGCTAGGAAACTGAGGGCAAAAATAATATTTTTTATAATCTTCTATCCAAAATTATCTCACTATTTTTCCATATCTTTTTTCTTTCTTTTTCCTTTTTTTTTTTTTTTTTTTTTTTTTAGGGAGAGAGAGAGAAAGAGAAGGAGGAGCAGAGGGAGAGAGAGAATCTTAAGCAGACTCCATGGTCAGCATGGAGCCCAATGCAGGGCTCGATCTCACAACCCATCTCATGACCTGAGACAAAATCAAGAGTCGGACGCTTAACTGACTGAGCCACCCAGGTGCCCCTCTTGTTCTGATACCTTAAAAAGCATTAAAATAATGAGGACAAATTAACAAATATTGAGACCTTTCTAATGGAGGTTATTTAAAAAAATTAAGGGTGGTCTCTATCTAGAGAGTGTGAACTTCAGGAGAGAAAGGAAAAACTAATTTACTGATAATGATAAATCACAGAATATAATTCACAAATTTATAGATATATGGTATAAAAAATAAGTACTCCATGAGTTTAGATTTGGTGACTAATTAGAGTCACAGATTTTGCTAAAAGTCTTGTGAATAGGAGAATTTGTTAATAGAAACACCAAGTCAACAAAGGAGAACTGAATTGCAGGAAGTAGAGGAGGGTGGGAGAAGGAAGACAGATGTTTAATTGGAGGTGTCAATGTATTATCCAAATAGAAATTTTCAATAAGAAACTTGGAATGGAACTTGGAAGAATTGCAGGGTTGGAGATAAATATTTAAGAATCTGAAATTGTATGGTAAAAATAATTAGTATTAACATTGGTGGTGTTAGAAGAAGTACCAAGGACTTCAGAAGTAGTAATACTTGTGTAGAGGAAAAGGGGGAACGTGGTAATAAAGAAATCTAAGTCTCACTAGTGTTACAGCAGCTAAAGGTAGAGATCATCTCAAAACTGAAAGGACAAGGAACAACATCCGATGTTGAAATAAAACCCAGGAGAATGAAAGACTAAGAGTGGTTCATTGGATTAGGTCATTAAATATTGTATTTTAATTATTATTTCAATTAACTCAACAATGTGATAAAAAAATTACCCATAGGTAGTCTAGTTAAGAAATTTTTAGATAAAATAGCTCATTCGCTTGACCCCAAAATTAGAATAACTTAAAGCAACACTCATTTTCTGAATGACTGAAGCTTTTGGAAAGCCTAAAATAGTTAGCTTAGTGATGAAAGTTATCCTATAATTTATTTGTCATTTTGTCTGTAAAACTTCAATTTCCTTGCTCTAATACAGATTTGAGGAAGTTATCGAATGATGCTAAATAATAATAGATCAATGATTGAGAACAAAGCAGCAGAATTATTTTGTTGCTTGTATTTCTTTGAAAAGGCTAAAAATAATCAATTTGAAGCATTGTTTCAGTTTTTTATAAAAACCCATTGATTAAGATTTTATGATTTAATTAGAAATGCAAGAGAAATTTTCCAATTCATGGCACCTTATAGAGAGGCATTAATTGTGGCGGTTAAAGTTCCCATCAACAATTTCAGTGTGACTTACTACAGTGCCATAAATGGCCAGAGAGCCATTGACCAGTTGACGGATTCTGTGGTTAATTTCAATATCCACCCCCTTTCTGTTCCATTGGATGGTTGGGGCAGGATCTCCTTTCGCTTCACAATTCAAGACTGCATTACCACCAAGTGGTTCAATCCAGTTAGAAGGGTAATCACCTTTGAAGACTGGAGGTTCTGGGAAATAACAACAGATAATTGTAAGTAAAAGGAAGCTCTGATCATTTCTTTGTGATTTTGACCTATTTAGAGAGATAATTTAGTGAAGAAAGGAGAAGCCACTTTTGAACCCCATGAATTTTCAGAATCACTGCTCATGCTAATCAACCGGATAATTTGGTTAGTTTCGATAATCTAAGCAGATGATTCCGTTTTGTACCAAATGATCTCTTTGCTTACCTACTTTTGAGTTGAACATTGATAATGTATTATTTCTTATGAATTTGCACATCTGTGAAACAGGACTAGATGGATTAATAAACTGAAGTTATAGTGTATTACTACATAATAAGGAAGCAAAATGCAAATTATTCATTATAAATAAATGATAAATTAAAAATAGAGCATGTTTACCTACCTTTCACATAAACAAATCCAATTGCCTTCACAAAACCGACGCTGTTCTCTGCGATGCACACGTAAGTACCTGAATCCTCTTTTGACACTCTTTTAATAACAAGTTCACTATGTCCATTAACACTGTCAAAGTGGGCTGAAAGAAACAAGTCAGGAAACGACTAAATGCCTCTCAGTAACCTAAGAAAATAATCACAACAGCTCAATTATTTTGCAGGTTGGATTTATGAGTTGGTCAGAAATTGAACTAGAGATCTCATCATGACATTGGAGAAGAGAGCCTTTTCCACAAATTTCTTCCCCTGAGCTATTTGCTATGTCTCTAGACACTTGTTCTTGAAGAATGAAAAACAGCAGAAGGAACAGGAAAAGAGAATGAAAATAAACATCTTTTAAAATTATTTTAGACTTAAAGTACACCTTTTAAGTGTTGCCTAAATCTGGCTTCTAGTCTCTCTGGGTTTCAAAAATCTTTCATTCAGACCTATGACATTTTCCACTTTATTTATCTCACCCCTTTTCTTCCCAAACAATTTACATCAAAAACATGAAAACCTTTTTAGCTGTAATTCAACGGACTTGGCAGGTCAGAGGGGAAATCATGAAAACATATGCTAGTTAGGTAATAATGACAACATGATTAAATTTGTAATGATTTAAACTTCTCCATAAATGGTTGTTGAAATAAATATTTATGAAAGTAGTTATAATATTTGGAATAGAGAATAAGGTAAACATGCTAATCCTCAAACAACAAAAATAAGATTCTTATTAGACCAGCAAATATCTAATTATGTTGGTATGTTTACCTTGTATGCTTTCCCCCATTCAAATTATTTGAAAAGATTTCATACTGCTGAATATGAAGTGGAAAATCAAGCTTTAAAAATTTAAATAGCTGAATTAGTATTATACAGTCAGAAAATAGTACTGATTAGATTTTTTAGACTATTTTTCCTTAGTGAGGTATACTGTTATTATTAAGGTAATACAGTCGATGAATTTCAGTCATTAACATAAATCTCTAGAACAGAAGAATTCAAGCTTATTACTTCTTTTCTAGGAAGACATTTATTAAATGCTAATAGTGCAGTATTTCAGAACTCAATTTTGGGTATGACAACTTCTTATTAACTGATAACATCTTTGTGCTGATAACATGGTCTAACAAATAAGGAGATACGTGTCCTCCCAGAGATGAGTGCTTCTGGGTTCCAGGCACTTACTTTAACTTGTAGTGCACATAGTGACCAAAAGTTTTCTACATAATTGATTTACATTATAAGAGAGGTTAATCGATGTTAATTCATGCAGTGAGAAGCAGAGCTCTCCTCTGTCAAATTAGGTGAGTCTTCAGGACTTCAACAGTAGCCACCTTAATCCATTTATCAGGGAGGATAAGTTTAGGTCCCTGTGTATGCAATATTGTCTTCTCCTGGGGGAGGGAGATTATTCTTAGGTTAAAAACGTCTACTAATATCCTGTCACATATGGTCCTGTGATTAACTTATCCTTCAAAAGAATGAAAAAAAAGAATATATATACTGGGTATAGGGTAAAATCCAGGCAAAGGTATGTATTTTATAGAAGTTAAAGCAATCAACTCTTCATGGAACTTTTATTTTTAGATTTTATTTATTTATTTATTTGAGAGAGAGAGAGAGTGCACCCAGGGGGAGGGGCTGAGGGGAAGGGAGAGGGAAAGAGAGAATCCCTCAAGCAGACTCCTTGCTGTGTGCAGAGCCCGGAGGTGGGGCTCGATCCCACACCCCGAGGTCATGACCTGAGCTGCAACCGAGAGTCAGATGCTCAACTGATGAGCCACCCGGGTGCCCCATCTCTTCGTGTAACTTTTCAATCAATTCCCGCAGCTAAAGGAAATGGGGATTGGCTTAGAGTTTTTTATGGGTGTATTTATCTCCTTAAGAATTAAATGACCCACCTGGGATAATATTGTTATTGAAGGTCCACGTTAACTTGGGCAATGGAATCCCAGTGGCTTTACAGCTTAATCGTAGCTGTTCCCCTTTAGTTAATGACGTATCTCCAGGAAGTTCAGTGAAAGTGGGGAGAACATGTACGGTCAGGCTGACCATATGCGTGTCTTCACCTGCAGCGTTCTTAGCAACACAAGTATAGGTGCCAGAATCCTCTGGCTTAAACAAAGAAAAATTGTAGTGTTAAAATTACACAGTCTCACATCATTTTCCATAAAATACACAAAATTGCATAGCTTGGTTCCCAAAGGAGCACTCTTATTTAAAGACAGTTTAAATTTCCATCTTGTAGTCGGAGCCACCTGGCTCGCTTTTGCATAACGTAACTTAAGATGTACAGGAGTTGAAACGAAAGCCCATACCCTACAGAACTATAGCAGTTTATAGTAATAAGCTCTCAGAAAACTCTACAAAAGTTCTAAAGTTTACTAAACATCAAGTGTACTGCAGCTCTACGATGTACAGATAAAGAACACATAATTAAGAAGTTTGGTAGCATCTTAGCTGGTAGCTGGCTTTCTTGGTAACGTGGCACCAAACACCGCCAAAATTATCAAAGGAGCTGGAAAGGGTATGGGCAATACTACCTGCAATTCTTAAGTTTCACTCGCTAAATACAACAGCCAGTCTTGGCACTCATCTTACTAGATGTACTGGAATGGCATCCTTTGACACCCTGTCTCTGTGAAACCATGTCTTCACTTGGCTTCCAGTCTACCCCCTTCTCCTCGTTTCCTTCCTACCTCACTGGTTGCTCCATTTCCATCTCTTTTTTCCTGGCTTCCCTTCAATATTAACATCTTGATGTTGGCATGCGAGAGGGCTCAGTCTTCGGTCCTCTTCTCTATCTGACTTGGGTCCTTAGTGATGTCATCCAGTCTCATGGCTTTAAATACTATCTGTATGCTGATGAGGACCAGTATTTGCAGGCCAGAGCTTTCTTCTAAACTCCAGTTACACTGAACTTCCCATTTCACCTCTCTGCTTGTATGACCAAAAGACATCTCAAACTCATGTCCAAAACCGAACCCCCAATTTCCCTTTCACCATCCTGTTTCATCGATAGCCTTCACCATATCAGTTGATGGCTATTTTGTCCTTCCAGTTTTTAATGCCTTTTGTTCTCAGGCATCTGAGTCATCTGTACTCTTCTCTTTCTCATACTGCAGTGGCAATCTAGCTAGGAAATCCTAGCTTCAGAGTATATGCAGAATCCAGCCACTTCCCACCCCTTCTCTGTTAACATAATCTCTCCTCAGACTTCAAATCATCTTCCCAACAGGTCTTTCTGCTTCTACCCTTGCCTCTGCTCATTACAATGGTCAATGCAGTATTGCAAAAATGTAAGACAGATAACATTGATCCCAGGCTCAAAACCTGCAATGTATTCTAATTTTATTTAAAGTAAAAAGCAAAATTGTTATAATCTACAAGATGCTACATGATCTGGCCTTCATTTTCTTTTCTTTCTTTTTTTTTTCCTTCTTTGCTTTTACTGGACCCCTGTTCTTCCAATATATTAGGCATGTTCCCACCTTAAGTTCTTTCCTCTAGATATCTGAGAGAGGAACATCCCAGTTTTACCTGCCTATCATGCTTTTCCCCCAGATATTTGCTTGGCCAACTCACTTCCTTTAAGTTTTACTCAAATGTCCCCTTCCCAAAGGAGACTCACCCTGACTATCCTATTAAAAAATGTAACCAGTACCCATCCAAATTCTGATCGCTTTTACTCTGTTCTTTTATTTTTCATACTACTTATTTTCTTCTGATGTATTGTATACATTGTTTATTATTATTGTATACATTATTTATTATTTTTTTATTGTCTATCTCCCTCCTCTAGAAATAAACTGCATGAAGGCAAGGATCTTTGAGTTCTTTGTTACCTCATATATTACTACTGCATAAATCAGTGCTGGTCACACAGAAGGTATTCAATAAATATTTTTTGAATTAATGATTGAATGCTTCTGAGTACATTACTTTTCCTTCTCTTTAAAAAGTTTAAGAATATTTTTTTTTGCATTGAAACATTAAAGGGTTGCTTGGAAATGTAGCATAAAAATTGTAATCACTAATAGTAGATACAATCTAAATTTGGTTGGCTGCATACTTTTTTTTTAAAGGGCAAACAGGAATAAATCATATTCTCTATAAAGGTCTCCCCACCTCCATATCACTCAGCTGTTCTTAAAATTCTCAGTTTATAACAATTTAAGCTTAAAATCAAGGATTTTATGGAAGTGAAGCACTTAAAAATCTGGATTGTACATACTATTCACAAGTAGATTTCTACTCATCATTTGAGTCCTTCATCTAGTATTTATAAACTACTTTATTGTTATGTTTTTTAACATTTCTGAGTCACTGTCCCACTAAAAGTCTAAACTCTTCTTGCTCATTTAATTCCTTCAGGTCTGTAAGTGTAATAGAGGGCCCAAATTCAACATTCCTGAGCCTGGGGGTAATCCCACTAAAGGTATTTACTAGCTTAAACAAACAAATTTATCCTTATTTTATCAATTCTAAAATTCATATTTTTAACTTTTAATATCCCTGAAACCTCGATACAACTTAAAAATTGATGGCCTTCTCCAGTTTACTTAACTGTACTTTTTCTTTCTTAGTGGTACATAAAATAATGGCACATTTTACAACTGATTTGAATAAATATGATTTTTGTTGGCACATGTGGTTGAGTTAGGGCCCAGTGATACAGCCAATCACTAGGGTTATTTACCTGATAATCCCAGGAGTCTGGCTAATGGCCAAAATTATACTACAAAGTGAATGTAATCAATTTTATTATTTTAATCTGTTCAAATTTAATTCCACAAAGATTTTGTAATGAAGTTTAGGTATTTTGAAGGGCAAGGAATAGGAATAAGATATGCACAAAAGCTCTGAAAGTGATTCACATTTATAGTCATGTTTCATATTCGGGGCTAAGTATTGATATTCTCAAACCACACGGTAAATATTTTTAAAAGTCATGTAGTATGCATATATATAGATTCTTCTTCAAGTGGGCTACCACAAAAACTGAGATGCTTCTGATAGCTACTATTCTGTAGACTGGGTAAGTACCACCTAAGACTATTAAAAAATCTTAGCCTGTGTAGATCCCTAAGACTTTAGTTTCCTTGTCAATGACTAGAAAGGGTTATTCAAAATCCTGAAAAGAACAGAAAAACTGCTTTTCATATCTGCTTAATAATGCATCAGACATTCTTCTATCTCCACTCTCCTAATCATTCCCATACATGGTTACATGCATGGAATATAACAGAGGTACTTAGAATTTTTCCTGATAAACAGATTTCCACAAAAATAAAATAATTTTAGAAGGAGGCCACTTATGAGTTCCTACCATCTGTTAAATATTATTCTTAGACCTGGGCCATAAAATGAAATATATGTGAAATTCATTTTTTGCCCTGAATTTATAAGAGTATTTTTCTTTCATTATTAAAGAATATATTTCCAGGCTAAGTTACTAAAAGTAAAAGGGTGAATTACCAATCTGGTTTAAAGTACCTATTCACATCTATTAAACTTACCACAACATTTTCCAGAGTAAGTTCTCCATAGGGTTCAATGGTATATTTTCCTAACAAGTTAGCTAAAAGAACATTGTCTTTTTTCCAGTTAATTGCTGGTGTGGGGATTCCATCAGCCATGCATGGAAGAATGGCTTGTGAATTCTCATTGACCGTGTAGTGTATTTCTGTACTTCGGATTCTAGGAGGTACTAAGAAAAGTTTAAAAAAGATAGTCATTCAGGATGTTCAATAATACCCTTATTCACACAGAATACTGACACACAAAAGACTCTTTTGAGGATAATTTTGCTGGAAATAGTAAAATAAAATGTATTAAGATATTGATTTGTTATCATGAAAGATGCCTATAGCAAGAACCTCAATGGATTTCAACTTGTTGAATATATTCACAATCAGTTTCTAAGCAAATGACATAGAACTAGATTAGAAATCCTTAGATTTTATTTGGCTTCCTAACTTTCTCTCTCTCTTTTTTTTTAAGATTTTTAAAATTTATTTATTTGACACAGCGAGAGAAAGCACAAGCAGGGAGAGCAGCAGGGAGAGGGAGAAGGAGAACCAGGCTCCCTACTGAGCAGGACCCTGACGCAGGGCTTGATCCCAGGACCCTGGGATCATGACCTGAGCCGAAGGCAGACACTTAACCAACTGAGCCACCCTTCCTAACTTTCTTTTACTTAAGTTTCTTATGCTTATTGCAGTGAAGTAAAACAAACAAACTAGAGCAACAATATCCAAAAATGCTTCTGTGGTTGTATAATCACTGGATTTTTATCACAGATATACTGTGAGAACAAACGGATAAAAGTCACCAGTTTATTTTTTTATTTTTTTTAAGATTTTATTTATTTAACAGAGAGAGAGACACAGTGAGAGAGGGAACACAAGCAGGGGGAGTGGAAGAGAGATAAGCAGGCTTCCCACTGAGCAGGGAGCCCGATGCGGGGCTCGATCCCAGGACCCTGGGATCATGACCTGAGCCGAAGGCAGACGCTTAACGACTGAGCCACCCAGGCGCCCCAAAAGTCACCAGTTTAAAACACTGTAAAACACTCACCCCATATTGAATATCACAAAGTGTTATGGAAAAAAAAAATTTATTGCAGTATTTCATGTGTTACAACAAATGCAAGTAAAACCAGGTCAAGACATTTAATTCAGCTTTTATATTGCTGCAGAATAAACTTTTATAGTGATTTCAGAACTCTATGCAAATACTTCCTATGCCTCAAATTTTTTTGGACTGGAATTTAGGCAATATAGAAAGATCAATTGACTATTTTAATATACTAACAAATACCTTAGTGGATTGGAACTAAGCTATTTACTTCTAAAGGAAAGGCTTGAAAAGCATTACGAATACTTGGCTCAAAAAGTAAAAATATACTCCCCTCCAAAAACTATGACTTTTGGAATTATTCAAACATACCCGTAAGAAATAGATCAATTTTAATGACATTCTGAAAAGTGACAGGACAAAAGCTGTATTCAGCAAAAATTATTTTTTTATTATATAAGTAAATACATAAACCATATATGAATGATTATACACAGAAACATAGATATTAGGGAAAACACAAAAATCTATTTTGTTGAATGGTACACTGTAAATATTTGATTCATTTTTAATTAATTTATACTGTATTTTTATCATTTTCTTTATCTTTGGGATTGATATTTCAATTTTACTAGGGTGACAAAGTTGTAACATTAGTACATTTGCTTCCTTCTTTTTCAAGATGAAAATTTTAAGGTTATGACTTTACATTTGATTTTAACTTTGGCCCACACATCATACATTTTGCTATATAGTGTCATTATTTTTATTATTTTCTAAATAGTATGAAAATGAAAACATATTCTTTGACCTACTTGTTAACTAGAATGGTATTTTTAAATTTGCTTGGGGTTGGGGTTTTGGCATTAAAAGTTTATTACATGTTTCTAGCTTTATCGCATTGTGGGCAGGAATTGTGACCTTATTTTAAAATCGTATTAATGATTATTTTGTTGTTTAGTATATGGTTAATTTTGGTAAACTTTATACAAATTTGAGAAAGAAGAGTATTATTTATTTGAAGCTAAAGAACTAATGTGTATTGATTAATTCAATTATATGAACTAAAAGCAGGTATAAACCAGGGTAAGTATTTAAAAAACTCATAAATGGTGATTTAAATTTGGGCTATTATTTCTTTATTCAGTTAAAATTGTGTCTGCTTGAAATCATCACTTTAACTATGAAGCCATAGGAAATTCAAACATACCTGGTGGATAAAAAATGGCTTTCACAAATTTTGTAGAAAAGGAAAAAGCAGAGACTCATTACAAGAGTTACCTCTGAAAACAGTAGTTGGAAAGAGTTTAACTTACTTATTGTGTTCTCACACTGATATTAATGGGTATTTTATATTTAAAATACACATTAACAATGAAAATATTTCAATGCTGATCCTTAGATATTTTGTTAGTTGTCTGAATACAAAGAAAAAAGATTTTTTTTTCTGTTATAAAAATATACTTGTAAATATTTTGCTACTTTAAAATAATGAATCTAATAGATTCCCAACTCTCATTAGGTTCACACTGTATAATGTAGCTCATATGGAGATTAGTTTTGAGTGAAGATCATTTGCAAGTTGAGAAGTAAGCAGAATAGTCACAAAACACAAATGGATCCCATAAATGGGATCTATGGCCAAAGTATAAATACTAATAATCACAATATGAGGGGATTATTGGAAACACATTAGGTATTTTGGCTATCTTTATAAAATCTCTCTTTCTTTCTCACACGTACATAATCATAGCCTTACTTCTGCCCACACAAATAATCAGAGCCTACATATTAGAAGGGTAAGTATACCTACACACCACACACACACACATCCCACTTCGGATTGCTGGTTTTGCATGACTTTGGCTTTCATCATATTTTTTCTCAGTGGTCTTTTCTCTTTGCCATGGCAATGTAGCAGATTGAAATAATTAATGTTAAATAACCTACCATGGACAATGAGCTTGGTGCTCATGCTGCTTGATCCTGCCACGTTAGTTGCCATGCACGTGTACTGGCCGGCATCATCAGGCTGAGCAAATGCGATTTGCAGAGCCCCAGAGCTGAGGATGCGCTGGCGGATTGATTCCACAATTGCATGCCCATCTTTATGCCAGGTAATGTCAGGTGGTGGGAAGCCACCTGCCTCACACGGTAGGGAGATGGGCTTATCCAGAGCAGTAATATATTCCTCTGGATGGGGGCTAATGACTGGAGGAACTGAAAGATACAAAGTGTAAACTTCATCTTAAAAGCATAAATGTACCATGTACACACCACAGTATCACTCTACGGAAGTCACACAGAAAAATGAAATCCTGACTTTACCATATTATCATCAAAGGATCACTATATTTTGTTTTCATTGGAAAAGAAAATTCTTTGAGCCATTTTCAGAACATTATTCTCTGCATAGTTAACAAATGTAAATGCTATTCAATTTTAAATGAGGACATAAACATATATTCCTGAGGTACTGCATGTCTAGAAAACTTAGGTTGTATCAACAGAGGCATTTTCTTTAACATACTGTATTATGTGATTCATTTCAGCTACTTAAACTTTCAGAATAGACCCCTTCAAGGTTTGGAAATTATTCAACTGCTCAGAGATACTTTTACTCAAGTGTTTCCTACAGTGCTTAGTGTCTCAAATACAGTGGCCATATTTAACACAGTATTGTTTGAATGACTAAGTAAATAAATGAATAGATCATGGAAAAGAATTACATATGTAAAACTCTTCCCACTTCTTCCAAAAGCTGTGGAAGGGCTTACGATAAGGCGTTCTCTTCCTATTGTTTCCAGTAGGTTGATTACCACTTAGGTATTGGCCTGGATATTTTATTGAGCTTCAAAGAAATATTAAATAATTATCAGAGAACAATCAAGGATGGACAAGGAACAACTGACCACAAGCACAAGGGAAAGAAATGAGAGGATGATCCACTTGTGTCAATGCAAGTCCAGAGACAGTGACAAGGTGCAGAGGACAACAGTGACAGTAAAAATAATCCCTTTAAGTATGTGCCGGCAAAACCCACAAAAAACAAAAAAACTACCACTCATTCAAAAAAGCTTAAGAGAGAAACAAGGCAAACGTTGTTTTCACATTGTTACCACACATGCAGACTGAGAAATGGAATCGGAAATGAGATCTCGGAGAGCTCCACTGATCCACGTAATGCCCTATGCATAGCAAGTCCTGGGGACCTAGAACTATCTGCCACATCTTCAGAGGATATGGAGAAATGGTCAACCACATGGAGACCAAATTTTATTTTATTTTATTATTTATTTTTAAAGATTTTATTTATTTGAGAGAGAGAGAAAGCGTGCACGCGTGCAAGAGTGGGGGGAGGGGGAGAGGGAGAAGGAGAAACAGATAAGGGGCTTGATCCCAGGACCCTGAGCTGAAGTCAGATGCTTAACTCACTGAGCCACCCAGGCACCCCGAGACCAAATTTTAAAGTACACTAATAGTGATGAGTAAAATAAAATCAACAAGTTGCAAAAAAAATATGAATAACCATGTTAAAATTACTTATATCAGCCAACATTATTTGGTTGGGTTTGTGCTTTCCATTACATACTGTATCTGCAAGGACAGCGATTTGGTTCAGAATTTTCATGCCTCTAGAGTATGCAGTTATCTCTGGTTGCTTCTGGAATGTTGAAATGCCATTAATCATTTAATGTGTTTCTTTGTCCCAGAATTGCCCATACCAATAATTTTAATCAATTAGTGAAGGTAAAACCCCTCCTATATGGAAGTGTTCTTTCCATGACCTCCATGTTGCCAAAGCCAATGGATATTTATTGGTCCTTATCCAACTGATCTCTCACTTGCATTCAACAAATCGTCCACTCCCTTCTTCTTGAAACACTCTCCTCTCCTAGCCTCCATCCGGCTTTCCTCTAACATGTCTGCCTGCTCCTTTGTATTCTTCTCCAGCATCCTCTCTTTTCTCAGGCCTTTAAACAATGTAGAGTTCTGGGTCTTTGTCCTTAGCTCTTTTTCTGTCCAAATTCTGATCCAGTCTTGTGGACTGAAATACGCTGATTACTTCCAAATTTGTATCTTACACTATACCTCTCCCTTGAGCTCTGAATCCATATTCAACTCAATTTGGTATCTCCACTAGGATTTCTAATAGTTTCCCACATCTCATAGGATCAATCAGAAATTATGTTTTCTTTCCTCCAAAGCCAGCTCCTCCCCCTTGCACTATCATCCCCCCATGGCACTATCATCCACTCACTAGTTCAAGCCCAAAGCCCAGGAAACATCATTAATTCCTCTTTTTTCCTAACCTCCCAAATCTGATTTATCAGTCATCCTGGCAGTTACACCTCCAGAAGTATCTTAAATCCATCACTTTTTCCATTTACCCCTGCAACTTACACAGCCACTCTCACTTCCAGCCAGGTTGTAACACCCTGCCTAGAGGACCTGAATAGTTCCTCCAGCTCTAGTCTTGCTCCTTCTCTAAACCATTACCTACATAGCAGCAAACGAGATCTTCCTAAAACCAAATAAGCATCTTGGTTAAACCCTTAAAAGGTCTCCCACTGCATAGAGAAGAAAATATAACCTTTGTGTGGTCCTTCTGACCCTCCAAGCACTGGCCCACCTTCTTTTCTGATTTCCTTCACATTGTGCCAGCCTTCTTCTTCTCCACCACTCCCTACCACACTGCCATGCTTCTTTCCTTACTCTTTCCTGCCATGGGGCCACCGCATGTGCTGTCCTCTCTCCCTTGGATACTCTACCACTTTTGCATGGCTCATCCTAGCTTATCATTCAGGTCTCAGCCTAAATGGTACTCCTTTAGAGAAGCCTACTTCTTAAAGCCTACTTTAACCACTAATGTGAAGTGGTGCCCACATTTACCCATTATTCCCCATCTCAGCCTTTTTTTCTGTGTAGCATATGTCAGAATTTATAATTATTTATTTGGTAGTTTAGTTTTTTTCCTTCTGTACACCATAAGGGAAGGATCATGTCTGTAATGTTCAATGTATTTCCACTTATTATTGTAATAAATATTTGTTGAGAAAATATTAACAATATAAAGAGATTTATAATACATAGTTAAGTAAGCTTTACTATAGTCAGTAATTTACCATAGGAAAATCACACTATAAGGAAATTCAAAATCAGCTAATGCAAATTCAGAAGCTCAGAATCTACTTCCAGGTCACAAAAACAATGCATGCAAGATATGAATATTATGTCAAGAAAATAACAATTAAATGTGAAAAGACCCTGCTTTGTCTACAGAATAATTTTTTCCCATCAAGTTGGTTAACTGCAATTACATTTTTTGTTTTATGATTTTAAAAAATATATGATTTGTTTTTTAAGCGGATATTAGAATCTAGTGTTTCATAATGTATCCAATGTGGTATTATGGGGAGAAGGGTTTTAAAAGTTACCTTAAATATGCGCTACAATGAAATAGAGTACCATATGGAAGTTCATAGAAATCCAAAATACCATGAGATGCCTCAGTTTTCTTATATAAACAATGACCAAAAAAACCCCAACCATTAAATTTTCTTCTTCATAAGGGTAAGAGAAAAAACACATTGTATAACGTAAACTAAGAATGTTGACAGCTATGGCAGCATGGTTATTTTAGATAGATGAACTTTGGTATACATTGTTACAAGCATCTTTGCAATGAAGACCTAGAAATTTACTCTTTAGGTACCTTGAACATTTAATTTGATTTTGCCTAAGGCTGTACCAGCTGGATTCTGAGCCACGCACATGTAAGTACCAGCATCTTCTCTGACAGCTCTGGAGATCTGCAAGCCGCCACTGGGAAGAACTGCATGGCTTTTGCCTACATCGGTTATGAAAGCACAGTGGGAAGAATTTTTATTAAATTTTTTTTATTAAAAAAATCATACTGACTTCTGAATTATAAAACACTGATTTGCTGTAATTTTCTTGATAGAAACAGTGGTAGGTACCTGCAGTGATGACATTGATGCCTTCTTTTTGCCAAGTAATGAAAGGACTGGGTGTCCCTGTTGCTTCACATGGTAATAAAATGGGATTGTTCACAATGACATCTAGTTCACTTGGCTGAGGCTGAATGACTGGAGACTCTATAAGAACCGATAGAAAAAGTGATGGCTCCAGTTGGTGGCAGAAACGTTTAAAAGTAGCCACGAGGTTAAACATGCCTGGATTCATATTCCACATTATTAGCGATTTGATTGTCCAGGGGAAAAGAGAATATTGGCCATATTACATTTTTTTTTGAGTCTTGCTACTGTAGGCAGTTTCCATTAGAAGAATTCCGTTAGAAGACTAGAAGCAGGGACAGATTATAGAAACTCAAGAAAAAAAATAATTTGGGGTTGTTCTGTGTGATTTTTCATTTGTATGTTTTTCTTAGTTTATTGAAAAATATCTGTCAGTCTTTCATATCCCCAAGGTATTTCTAGACAGTACATCCTTTCAAGAATAAACATGACTTGAAGGAAAAACAAGCTTTTAATGAGTTAAATGAGCTTCCATACCCTGGACATAAAGGGTCACGTGTCGATGTGCAGAACCAGCTGCGTTCCTGGCGACACAAGTGTATCTTCCAGCATGGTTTAACTCAGTGGCAAATATTTCAATGGCTCCTAAAAAGGAAAAAGTTTTTATGCATAGGGTGTCCATTTTTCTGCAACCATTTCTCTGGTTCAATAAACTATGTCTCTCTGATTTTGTGTTTTCATCCCCATAGCACAGTGGTGCTTGGCTTATACTCATACTTGTATCCCCTGAAGGGCCTAGCACAGTGCCTTTTAATCATTATTAATAGCTTTATTTAGGCAAAATTTACATGCCATAAAATTCACCCATTTAAATGTACAATTTTATGATTTTTAGTATCTTTACAGAGTTGTGCAACTCTTACAATCTAATTTTGAGGACATTTCTATTACCCTAAAAAGAAATCTCATTCCAAAAAAAAAAAAAGAAAAAGAAATCTCATTCCATTTACAGTCACTTCTCATTCCCAGCCCCAGCCCCAGCCCCAAGCAATTACTAATTTCTTCTTCTTCTTCTTCGTATATTTGCCTTTTCTGAACATTTCATGCAGATGCAATCATACAGCTGTCCTTTGCGTCTGATTTCTTTCACTGTGAGCACAGTTTTTGAGTTTCATCTGTTGTAGCATGTGCCAATATTTTTGTTCCATTTTATTGATAAATAGAATTTCATTGTGTGGATTATCCACATTTTGTTTATTCTTTCATCAGTTGATGGACATTTGGATTGTTTCTACTTTCTCTATTGTGAATAATGCTGTATGAACATTTGCATACAAGTCTTTGTGTAGACATATGTTTTTATTTTTCTGGGTAGATGCCTAGGAATGGAGCTGCTGGGTCATATGGTAACTCTTGTTTAATATTTTGAGAAAGTTCCAAACTGTTCTCTCAACACAATACCTTGTGCTGAAGGGTAGTTAATTTCTATTTTATGATTTTAATTGTTACCAATCTATACACATTTCAGAGACAGCCAAAATACTTGGCTTTGAAAGCCAAGTTTTACCCTGAGAACAATCTTCCATCATTTCCCTTCTTTGAAAAAATGAACAAATTACCTTAGAATAACATGCACAAATGCAGAAAGCTCCAGGATGTTAGTTGCTACTTTAGTTTATCTCTAGTGTACCTTCCCAGTACAAAACACCAATGTGAATTACCTATATTTTCACTTAGGTGAATTATTTTTTTCTCTTTCAATACATAAATTTTATAAATTATGGCTACTACCACTCTCAAAAATATCCATCCTAGCACTTATACCAGCCCTCCCTGCTCAGTTATAAAAACCTTGAAAACAAGAACCCTCCTAGTTTTATATTCTCAGAAACTCAGTGGAGTATATAACTTATTTTAGGCACTAAATCTTTGTTAAATGAATGGAGATTCTTGTTGGCTAATGAAAAGAGTGTGGTTCACTCAAAGGCAACCAGTGAATTTGTGAAGCTTTAGGGTTAGTAAATATGCACATAAAATCCAGTGATCATGCTCATTATATTCAGTTATTGTGATTTTGTTTCCAGATTTTTTTCTCTCCCTTTGCTGAGTTACCCTGCCCAACTGTATTTTTTTTCCAGATGCAGAAGTCTAGGAATGAAAATGTATTTTATTTTTTTATTTTGGTGCAACAAAAGGCCTGGTAAGGCCACCCATTAATCATTAGTCTAATCTTAGGTGTGTAATTACTTAGCTTGGTCTTACCTGAGGACAGAATTCTATAACCGTCTCCCCTGGGAAGTAGTCTTATCCCATTTTTTGTCCAGTGAATTGAGGGAAATGGAACTCCTGAAGCAGTGCAGGTAATAACCGTTGGGGCACGTTTGGTTACTAGAAAGTCCGTAGGCTCATCAGCTATGGAAGGTGGGACTAAAACAATAACAACAATAAGAAAGTATACATTTCAAACCCTTACAGGTTTCCAAAGCCTTATCATACATCTTTCTCTTTCTACACAGAAAGTGAATGTTAGTAAGTGGAAAAGGAAGCCCTCTTGTGAAGTAGTGTGATAATGAAACATATCATTATAATAACTATTAATCCATGTACTAAGCCAGTTCTACCTTGGACAGTGAGATCCATGGTTCTCTTATCCTCCCCGGCATCATTTGTCACAGTGCACTCATAGGTTGCAGTGTCATCCACAGAAGGGGAAATAATTACTAGTGAACCTGAAGAAAGGAGCCTAGAAGAAAGATTTCAAAGCAATGATGTACTGTAGATCAGTTATCATAAATGCTGGTTCAACATGGCACCATGTTGTGAATTGAGGGAAATGGAATTCTTTCCTTGTATTAAAATGAGGAATTCCTCTGATACTTCAAGTATCAGACTTTTTTTTTTTTTTATATGGGCAATGGGTTAATAGAGCCTCAACTTGGAGATTTAGATGAAGCAACTGGGTAGAAGGGTTGTTTGAAGAGGGAATCTTGCATTTTCTGATTGCTTATATCATGATCAACTGTGCTCTCCTAACTGAAATACAGAGAAATGAGCACACTGATGATAGCCACTGTTTATGGAGCACTGAATACATTCTGGTACCTTCTCAACTGCTTCACATAAACTACCTCTAAATCTCACAATAACTTTACAGATTGGTATTTGATTATTTCCATTGACAGACGGGTAATTACAAGTTCGTCTGTCTTACGTGTTGCCCTAGTTCACATGTCTCCTTACATGTGTTGGACACTTTTGCGATGCATAGTACATATATCAATAAGTCTTTTCCCTAACTTTTAACCAATTCAAAACTAAAGTGATCTGGATCACTTCAAATGTTTAAGAGGTCTAGTAAATATACATACGTTATTCAAAGTAAATCTAAATAAAATATCTATTTTCTTATTTCAAGGTGTGCACTGATAGAATAAAAGTGATTGGATTCAATGGGAATACATTTGACATGCTTTTTTATTCGATGGTATTGCACACTTTCTACACAGTGTATATCTTCAAATCACTAGACTCCCAGTACCCAAAGATTAAAAGGGTGAGAAAGAGAGAAAAAACAGAATTTCAAGTGAAACACTCCTTGTTTCATATTTCCTAATGTATAAGAATTGATCATTTTCAAAGTAGATCTACAAGAACATTTGTTTTTAGTATTATGGCAATTCCTTTGACAAGATACCTATCTGTTAACTTAATTGAGATACAAGAAATGATGTTCATTTACAACATCAGAAATTCCTAGTAATTAAAAGGTTAGCTTTTAAAAAACATGTATTTCCTCCCTGCACATGCTACCAAATACCTAAGTTGTATTTCAAGGTTCAGAATTTTATTTTTATTCTATAGCTAAAGGTGGTATTATTTTTACAGAATAGTTTTTCCCTTATACCAAATATTTTCATTCTTTGTTTTTATAAAATTCCAAAAGGTGCTAAGAAAAATAAAGCAGAATAGGAATCTAATCTTGTAGATCTCTCTGATCGCCATCCACAGGGCTTATGGATAGAAAAATTGAACCCATAATTCAGAAAAAGCTTTTAAGTTGAAAAACTAATTCCACATTAAGAAAAATACATACTCTCTACATACTAGCTAATTCTTCATACTTTATATATATGCTGTTCCCATTGATAGAGATGAGATGTTAATTCTTTTTAAAATTATGTTTCTAAATAGTAGGTGGGATTTGTCAGTTAAATTATTACTTACCTGTATGAATTCTGATTTTGATCCACATTAAGAAGATGCCCATTTTTCCTCCACCTGATTGATGGTTTTGGTATCCCAGCAGCCTCACAAGCCAAAGTAGTTTGAACATTTACTGTTACAGTTATGTTGGTAGGACCCAGAGCAATGGATGGAGGAACTAAAACAAAGTCAGCAAATAAGAGGGAAACACATTCAGCAAATAGTATGCCATCTGAAGTATTTCTGCCAGACTGAAATTAATCACTGGTAACTTGCTCCATAGTTAAAACACAAGAAGACTCTGTGAACTTAGTGTTGTGATGGTGCTAGCCACAATGAGGAGAAAACACGGGTCTTAACTGTTCACAGTAGAGTGTGGTACCTTCACATAGCCCCGGATATCAAGGTCTTTATGATCTCATAGGTTTAGGCTATCAAAGAACATTTAACCCAAAGATTAGATGCTGTTCATATTTACCATGGACTTGTAAATCTATTCGCCTGCGGTCTGTTCCAGCAGCATTGGTAGCCATACACAAATATCGCCCAGTATCTGTGATGTGTGCTGACTGGATATGAAGGAATCCATTTTCCAAGATGGAGTATCTACAAGAAAGATCACAAGTGAAGTCCCTGGAATCAGGGTTTTCTGATTATTTACATTTTGACTGAGAGTATTCTACAAAACTTAGTTACATTTTTAGTCTTTTTCCTGCCATAGAAATTTGCAATACCCTTGGTGGAAAAAAAGGGATATTCCACAAAGATGCATAGCAGATGAACTTGTGATCTTGGATGAATTATAATCATTATGTTTTGGCCATAAGCCTTAGGATTATGCTTTTAAAATAATATATTTTGATTCTCATATTAAGATGAAGAACTAATATTAAATATAACAAGACCAAAATAATGCACTGGAAAAGAAAATTTAGGAAATTATCCTTCAGTTCTTGTAGTATTTTTCATTCTTTTCCAGAACTTTTACCTTGCATGACTTGCAGATAGAACAGCACCATCCTTTCTCCATGTTATCCTTGGGGTTGGCACACCCTCAGCAAGGCATTCCAATACAGTTGACGTATTTAAGTGAATGATAAGACTCTGGGGGCCACTCTTTATGTTTGGAGGAACTGCACAAGAGATGCACATGGAAAACTTCATTCATATCAATAATATAGCCTGAACTAAGACTCTGAAGAGGTAATACAAGGTTAGCTTTGAGTCAAATGTATAGCTTTGTCTACAGCTAATTCAGGTTAGTATGAACAGAATTGGGGTTTAATTCCTAAAGTCTTACTCAAGATACTTAGTTTTTAAAAATAAAGCACAGATGGGGGAAGGAGGTTTTAAATCCCTGATATGGTGTGTGAAATCTGGCTTTGTAGGAGATGCTTGAATAAAAATCAGCTCTGGTCTGATGCAAATTAAAGATGATATTTCTTATTTCTCTTTGGCCAAATAATGGTCTGAGAATGTTAACACTGGAACAACTTCACTTTAAATAAAGAACAGAAAGTGGGCTGTTCTAATGAAAAGCACATCTGTGATTAATCATGCAAGTCTCAGAGCATGTATTTTATTAATCATTGAGTTCATATGGGAATAGAAAACTTGAATTTTAATTTTACTCTTAGAGATATTAGTTGTATGGGTCACCCAATATCGTGTAAAATTTCATACATTAAAAAACCAAAGAGACTGTGATGGGGAAAAGTCTGTATTATCTTCCTAAATATTGACAAATTTTAATGTTTAGATTTTAGATTTGAGAGAATCACAGTCCTATGGCAGTCTCTGTCTAGTACATATATACTCAAACACCAACATGAATAAAGGTGAACTAAATAATGAACCACATGTCATCCAAAGCCTTAGTGTGCCTTTCTCAATGGTTCTGATCTGAATGACACAAAATGTCAGGATATGTTAATAACAACTGGACATATATTATCCTCTAAGATCATGTATCTTTAATTATTTTTTTTGAAATATGGTTTGAATATAGCCATAATACAAATACTACATGTTGTCTTTTTCAAAAAATAAGATAACCACAAGAATTCATTGAGTGTGCCCATAAGAAACAAAAAATGTTATCATTTCTTTGAATGCCCTTGGCTAAATTTTTAAAATGTCACAAACAATTATTAATTTTTCTTACCATTTACAGTGAGAATAAATCCTCTTGTAGTCCTTCCTGCAATGTTGCTGGCCACACAAGTATAATTGGCTGTATCACTTAGATCTGCATTATTAATTTGCAAGTATCTCCCTCCAGATAGGATTCGTATTCGAGGTGTTGCCTAGATTCACAAGTAAAATTTACCATTAAAATGTCAGGAAAAGAGAACAAAATACTACTTTATAACATCAAAAATAACTACAGTGAGCTGTGGATTGCCTGTCTTCTAGTATGCTTTGTCTGCTCCCCCTACCATTATTCTGGGATCAAAACCTCTCAGGAACTATTTCTATGAGTGTGCTTAAGGCAAAGGCACAATCAGTATTCCCAGTTCTCCTGGCCACAATGATCCGGATACTCAAGGATGAGCCGGTGACTCAAGCTGGGCCCCTGAGAGCCCTCTGCAGGACTTCGTTGGAAGTGTTGGGGAATAAGACAGGCTATTTTTTTACTGGTGTCTGGTAGTGAGGATGACATAGCCTGGTGGCAGTCTGTCCATGTGTGGACAGCTCTAAATCTAAAACACAGCAAGCGGAGTTACGATTCAGAGAAAAAAAACATAAATGCTTGGTTACATGAGGAGAACCTCTGGATCTAGTAATACCTAAAACCTAAGTTCACCAATCACTATAGGTAATAAATGCCTTAAAAAAAATTTAAGTTGGGGCGCCTGGGTGGTTCAGTTGGTTAAGCGACTGCCTTCGGCTCAGGTCATGATCCTGGAGTCCCGGGATCGAGTCCCACGTCGGGCTCCCTGCTCGGCGGGGAGTCTGCCTCTCTCTCTGACCCTCCCCCCTCTCATGCTCTCTATCTCATTCTCTCTCTCAAATAAATAAATAAAATCTTTAAAAAAAAAAAATTTAAGTTGGTTTGAGTTTGAATTCTGTCACTTACAACGGAAAGCTCCATGACTAATAAATTACCTTTGTTTATAGGAAATAATGATCCTTTAACATTTTAAAAATAAGTAAATAAATGATTTTAGTCTACAAATATTTGTTAAGCATTTATTTTGTGCCCAGGCATGGGACCAAGAATTATGAAAATACAGAGACAATGAAACCTAACCTTTGCTATTAAGTCCAATTGGGAAAATAGATGTAAACAAGTAGTTTTGTACAAATTAAGATGCATGATGTTCATAATCATTAAAAAATGCCAGGTAGCCATCAAAGACTGATATTTTCTGGTTGAACCAAAGAAGGAACTACTTCAGGAAGAGCCTAAATAAGATTTTTCTGCCATATGGGCTCTTTCCCAGGTAGATATATAGTTGACCTTCGAACTGTGTGGGTCCACTTATATGTGGATCTTTTTCAATAAATGCAGTGAAGTTTGTATTTTCTATTCCTATGATTTTGTTAATAACATTTTCTTTTCTCTTACTTTATTGTAAAAATAGAGTATATAATATATATAACATACAAAATATGCGTTGATAGACTGTTTACGTTATTGGTGAGGCTTTGGGTCAACAATAGATTATTAGTAAAATTTTGGGGAGTCCAAAGTTATATGTAGCCTTCTGACTGTATGTGTGTGTGTGGGGCCAGTGCCTCTAACCTCCATGTTGTTCAAGGGCCAATTGTCTATTTCTAATGAAAAAAGTTGTTCATACTAAAATATGCAGTTCAGCTCCATTTATTTTACGAGATCATGTATTTTCTCTAGGCTTTTTTTTTTTTTTTAAGATTTTGTTTATTTGAGAGAGAGAGTGCACAAGCAGGGGGAAGGGCAGAGGGAGAGGGAGAAGCAGGCCCCCCGCCGAGCAGGGAGCCCCATGTGGGCCCGATCCCAGGACCCCGGGATCATGACCTGAGCTGAAGGCAGATGCTTAACCGACTGAGCTACTCAGGCACTCCTCTCTAGGCCTTTCATTGCTATAGGGGCTATTAGTGAAAAAATCTTATTACCGCTGATGAGAATAAGTGATTTCTTAAATATATATGTTAAGTTCTATAAAACATATATTTGTAAATTTTTTTATGTGGGTATAGCAGGGTTGTAGGCTAATAAAAAATTTCAGAGTTTATTCTTACGTTTTTGTTCCATGAACATCAATAAGTTCTGCTAAGTCATCAAGTCTCACTACAGTTTTCTCTGGTTCTCTTCCCACTGGCCACCAGTGATTCTTCCAAATCTGACTTCTTTCTTCAGATAGAATCTCATTCTCAACCGATGCTCTTGCTTCCTACTCCATGCAGAAAACCAAAGTCCTGTGCCTGCAGTTCTCTCCTCCTCCCACCTTACATGTGAATACAACCTTCCTATCTTTCCATCTCTGTGGAAAAAGGTCAGTCCTTTTGTCCAAGGCTAATCTCCTCACCTGTGAACTGGGTCCCATACCTTCTCTGTTCAACACATGTCATCCTATAAACTTCTCTTTCTCTCTCCTATATCTTTAGTCTCTCTTTTTTTTTTTAAGATTTTATTTATTTATTTGACAGAGAGAGACA